GCTTGAAGGCAGAGGAAATATGGAATGGCCAGGTGCAGACATGATTATTAAGTATTTTTTCATTTTATGAATGTGTGTGTGTGAGACAAAGAAGTTCAGGGAAAAACAGAATTGAGAAATAATGGAATTTTTCCATTAACTTTCTGAAACTGCCTCATAAATAATTTGAAACATCTTTGTTTTTATTCCACTTAAACAACAACAACAAAACAACACGGGCTGTAAACAGTTCCTAAGACATTTCAGCAGATTGCATCTTTTCTTCCTTGGTGTGGCCAACCTTTAGGTAGCAGCCCAGTGCTTACGCACTGTACCACCAGGGGTCCTTTCTTATCCCATTACTTATATAACATGAGATGCATAAACTTTCCATCATAGTATTTAAATTACAGGACAAATATTACCGAAGAGCCTTGCATCCTCTCTGGAGAAAATATGTTTGGCTGCCCATGCAAGATACCTGCATAATGTTAGGGGGAAGTATGACTGTTAGTGTCTTTATTTGGAGACTAAGTATGGTTTAGGGAGGTGTGTATGAATTCCAAGCTGACAAGGGGTGGGCTATGAAGGATAATTTTTATGCGTTAACTTGGTGCTTAGTTCGCTGTTATGAAGCAGTTGCATGTAATAAGTCAGTTGGGTTTAAGTTGATTACCTTCCGTAATGTTGTTAAGTGTCATCGAGTCGGTTCTGACCCATAGTGACCATGTATGGGGTTTCCGAACCAGTGACCTCATGTTTCAAACCAACTTTTCAGTCCAGCACATTAACGCTCAGCACCACTCCAGGACTCGGTAATGTAGATGCGCCTTAACCAATCAATTGAAATCTTTTGAACAAAATGGAGTTTCCGCTAGGACAGTCTACCTTCGACTGTAGACATCTAGCCAGAACTCCTCCTATACTCGTCTCTTTGCCTGACCTATCGATTTTGGGATACAAGATAGAATCTCCTGCCTGTTGCCCCACCTACAGATTTTGGACTTGCTAGCCCCAACAACTGTGTGAGTCAGTTCCATAAAATTAGTCTCTTTCTCTGGTTCTGTTTCTCTAGAGAACCCTAAGACAATCCTCAAATAGTCTTTCCAACATTAACTTGCCTTACTACTCTTCAGAGTCCTGTTGTAGCGCGGTGGGTTAATGCACCAGACTGCAAAGCCGTTTGAACTGCAAGGTTGGTGGTTCAAGCTCACCAGCTGCTCCTCGGAAACCCTGTACAGAGTCACTATGGGTTGGAACCAACACGATGACACTTAACAACATCTTCACAGAGTCCTGGTATGGTGCTGTAGGATAAGCACTCTCCTTTAAGGTCGGTTTCACCAGCCACTCCTTAGAAACCCTATACAGGGTCTCTCTGGGCCGGAACCGACTCAATGACATTTAGCAACAAAACAATGCTACTCTACACAGGAGCTCTGGTGATGTAGTAGGTTATGCATTGGGCTGGTCAGAAATTTGAATCCACTAGCTGCTCCACAGGAGGAAAACTAGGCTTTCTGCTCCTGTAAAGATTTATAGCCTCAGAAATCCTGTACAGTGTCGCTGTGAGTCCAGAACTGACTCAGTGGCACACAAACACCACCACCACTACTGTATGCATTGTTGTTGTTAAGTGCCGTCCAGTCGGTTCCAACTCTTAGCAATCCTGTTTAGGATTTCCGAGGAGCAGCTGGTGGGTTTGAACTGCCAGCCTTGTAGTTTGAAGTTCTCTGCTGATCCTACAGCACCACACCAGAAGTCCTTGTTAATTGTACTCTATCTTATATACACCCTACACTTTCTGCCCATAATACTTATGCCCCCCTTTTCACTACAGTTCACTTTTCCAATCTGTTAAAATACTACACATTCTACATAGCCATCTCAAATGCCACCTCCTTCAAGAACCACTTGATTTCCCCAATTAATAAATGTGCTCTTTTTGCAACCCAAAGCTTTTGATTATGTTATTGGACACACTATCATGCATTACAGTTCTGCATCTATGTTATCCTTTTTACTTTTTTTTTTCATAGATTTTAAGTTCCCTAAGGGCAGGAGCCATGTCTTCATCACTGAAAATGTGCTTTCTAAAACATGAATAAAAACAGGAGGCCTTTTAAAAGCCTCGGATCCACTTCATTTACATTGGAACATTGTAAGAAGTTTCCTTTGCGATTGTGATTTTGAGATTGATAACTACAAATTAATACTAAGTGGAGAGTAAAGGGAATTTATTTTTCAATCCCCCATTCAGTGCCCACTAATATGAGAGGTGTTTTCATATATGGTCTCTCTTTTCTTCACCATCATTCTGTGAAATA